ATTCTCAGCGGCATCGGCGTCCAGTGCGGCGCCCACCGCCTCTGGAGCCACAAGGCCTTCAAGGCGAAGCTGGGGCTGAGGTAAGAGAAACACTTTAACTTTAAACTCTAGAACCTAAAATCCCTTTNGGAGCCACAAGGCCTTCAAGGCGAAGCTGGGGCTGAGGTAAGAGAAACACTTTAACTTTAAACTCTAGAACCTAAAATCCCTTTTCCCCCTCCCCTTCAGAATCTTCCTCGCCGCCTGTCAGACGATGGCCGGCCAGAAGAACATCTACTACTGGGTGAGAGATCACCGAGTCCACCACAAGTACTCCGACACTGACGCCGATCCGCACAACTCGCATCGAGGCTTCTGGTTCGCCCACATGGTAAGCCTTCCTATTTTTAATAAATTCTAGAACCCAATATTAATCCCCATCCCTAAAATTCCCCTCAGGGCTGGATCTACCTCAAAAAGCACCCCCTGGTACTGGAAAAGGGCAACCAACTGGACATGTCCGACATCGAGGCCGACCCCGTGGTGATGTTCCAGCAAAAGTACTACGTCCCCCTGCTGATCCTCTTCTGGGGCGTCATCCCCGCCGTCATCCCGGTCATCTTCTGGAACGAGTCCCTCCTCCTCTCCATCCTCGGTTGCGTCTTCTTCCGCCACGTGTACATGCTCAACGTCACGGGGCTGGTCAACAGCTACGCGCACATGTTCGGCTACCGCCCCTACGACACGCGAATACGCCCCGCAGAGTCCACCTACGTGCGCCACCTGATGATGGGCGAAGGTACTACAGAAAAGATTCCCCCCTCTGACCTTTGACCCCTGCTAACCCCTCTGACCTTGACCTTTGACCCCTTCCCTTCCCCTGCCCTCCCCTAGGCTTCCACAACTACCACCACACCTTTCCATGGGACTACTCGGCGAGTGAACTAGGATCGCTGGACGTCTTCAACCCGGCTACGGCGGCCATTGACTTCTTCCATGCGATGGGCTGGGCGTACGACCTGCGAAAACCGACGCCCGCAATGGTGGCCAATCGCATCAAGGGCCACGGCGACCAGGTGGAGGCGGAACTACATCGAACCAGCTCTGTATGCGAATGGGCCGCCGGCCTGGCTATGGTTT